CTGGCAAGCTAGAAGCAGTGCTGTAGGTCCATACACTATACGGAAATCAATGGGGATCCATAGCTAATGATAATACTACCCTATTAACTACAATTGCCAGAGGTGGTTGCTACAAAGTGGCATTGTAAATCAATAGCCAGCAAATAAACACTTAGTATACATAATGTCACTTTCCTTGTGAGATGCCAGAGCATTTAAGCTGTAATTCATGTGGGGTAACTCACCCAGAATATGGAACTTGGACTTTGGCAAGCTCCTTCTTCAGAATAAGGCACCTATGACTTGGATACTTTGACCCATACAGAGTTAAAAAAAACTATTTAAAATAGCAAGTATTTCAATTGTAAGTTTTTAATTTTTAAGACTTGCTGTGCTGTATTCCCTAACAGGGGAAGGTGTTTGGCCTGTCCTAGACCTCTCCTACTGTATGCCTGTATGCCTCCTTATGTGTGAAAAAAAAGGATTTATTTTTCTTAGTATAAAAGGGATAATGTTTATGAATGGACTTTTGTTAGAAAGAATGCCAGGGGACAACTGGGTTATTTGAATCCTAGGACAGAGTAAAGAAAAGATAAAAGGAAGTAGATATGTGTCCTTTCCACCCACCATAATCAAGTCCATGGGCTAGTGGATGAAAACATCAGTATCTTACTAGCTTCCAGATAGTAACATTGAATATTGAACGGTATTGTCTATACTCCAAAGTATAACCAATCTGTCTTCCCAGGGTGACCAAACCTTAGTATGTCAGACACAAATGCTACACTGTGCAAAGCATGAGCATGCCCTCAGTCTAATAATGATAGTAATAACTGCGACACACAGAACCTACAGCTCTACTTCAGTGTTGGCTCATGTCTGTGGGTATTTATGTGCAGGTGGTATTAAGTACACATTGAGTGAGAAATCCATCTGTGTAAGTTAGTTGTATTACTAAAATTGTATTGCTAATTGCAACTGTCAGATGCCATATGGTTGACAAAGACGAATGACGGTGCATTACCTGAAGAGTGTTGCAAATGTTGGTCATTATCAGCACAGCACTATGGGGATATCTGGAAATGGTACAGGAATACTTTGGAAACAGTATACTGAAAACCAAGTTGCTAAGTTACAATAACAAAAAAAAACCCAGCATTATATACAAAGTGTTTAAAGGCTAACATGGTACACAGCTGACTGTTATTTATGACTTCTAAAGACTGATTTGTTTGCACCTGTTCTTTGGAACACTGCAATTTTGTAATACATCTATGTTAATAGTATAGTATAACTCAGTATCACTGTGAACACAGCCTGGAGTTTTGATAATGCTGACAATTTTAATGATGTTTAGAAGGGTAGTCTTAAATGTTTTTGCATTGATAAAGCATGTCCTTTTTATGCTGTAAGTTTTCATTGATCCCTAGTGTCTCACAGTTTTTCCATTTGTTTTGCATTTATGCATACATTTCTGATTAAAGTAGTATTAAACATTTCCCTGTTAAAAAAAAGGTTTACTCTGTGCAAGCTGTTAAAGATTCCTCATTATATTAGTGAGCCCACATGTCAAGCCAAACGCTTTACATGGTTTGCTTTCACTACCGTCCGCTTCAGGTCACACAGCGTTGCTTCCCCGAAATTCTGGGTGGGGAAACAAACATCCAGGTGCCCTTCATGTGCACAGAAAACCAAGGACAGCAAAGGATCTAGTGGTAAATCATTCAAGTAAAGAAGGGAGGAACAGGGGAGTAACTTGCGGCCAGGGCTATATTTTTGTATGGACACAAGAAGAATCCTTTGTATTGAGAGCAAGGGTTGTAAGCTGACTCTATGGAACCCTGTAAGGAGACAGAGCCACCTGGAAACAGCAAGTAAGGAAGGAGCAAAGAATTAAAGGCAACCTAACACAGAAAAAAAGTTTGAGGTCACAGGTTACAGAAAAAGTTATATAGTTTAATAATACTTTAAAGTGTTACTAAACCCATGACCCTCAACTCTCAAATCAAATCAGCTCTCAGAACTCAGTGAGTAGAGCTCTGAGAGTTGATTGGAGGGAAGAGACACCCCCACCCCCTCACCCCCCTTCACACAGCTGACAGGAACAGAGCTGAGGCTGTCAATCTGCTGGAGCTCCCTCTCCTGTCACTATTTTTCTCTTGGTGTCAAGTAAACGTGTCAGAAGCAACTCATGCTGATAGCAGAGGAACACAGCAGCACACAGAAATGACACTTAGTGCTCTGAATTGAGACAAGTACTCACTACTGTATATAGGGATATGCTTTGTTCACATTTCATATCTGAGGTTTACAACCACTTTAATTATCTTCAGGCATCAAGGAGCCTGCTACTATTTTTTAGATTCTGGCAGATAGCCCCCAATGACATGCATCAGATCCATTCCCCAACCATTGTGAGCTCCTGCAGCCTCTTGGGAAAAACAATGTAGATATCCTAGGAGGCTGCAGGAGCACATACACATCATAGTCACCTTGGTGAAAATGGCGTCGGGGAAAAAAAGTAAAAAAAAAAAAGGATTTTTTTACTTGTGGTGTGGTAGTGCAGGAAGGTAAAGTAGGGCAGTTAAGGCAGCATTTGATATTAAAGTGTATCTGTAGCCATAATTTTTTTAGTTTTAGATACATTAAGATGGGATTAAAACATATGTTGATTTATTTTTTGCTGTTTACTGTGTCCCATTGGGGACATTTCCCTTTACCTCCTGGCCGGGGAGATACAACAAGAAGAGATTTCCACTAAGTGAGGGGAACCTTCCTCTTAGAGAGATGTCAATAAAACAGCTGTTTGAGTTAGAGAATTAACCCTCACCTTTTTTTCAGTGACAGATGTAAAATATATATATATATCACAATTTTTTGTTAACAGTGGCCCCCAAGAAAATGCATAGCTTATGAAGGGCAAAGCAACAGGTAACTTAAAGCAGAACTACACTGCATCGGAGCACCACAAACCAAGAGATATTTCATTAATGTTTTATATTCAAAGTAAACTCACCCATCCATCCATGTTGCCATGCTTTATTGTGCTCAGAAATCACATCACACCCAACTAGCATTTCTGCCTTAAGTAAGGACAGATGATTCATGTAGCAATTACTTCATGAAACCCATCTGCCCTTAGCTCAGGCATGCAGGCAGGAGGGGTGTGCTTAGCTGAGTAAACCCCTCCTCCCCTCCTGAATGTATGAAATCATTTGCCTAGGCATAGAAACTAGGAAGTAACTAAAGAAATGTAAAAAGAAAACTGTTTAAAACAAGTATATATGATATACATTTCTATCTATTTACTAATGATAGCAGTATAAGGATTCCATATAGTCAATTGATTGAAAAGATTGAAATTGATTGAAAGATTAAAGTTCCACCTTAACTGATGCCATACCCAATTGCACATACTTGCCTTCAGTTTGATTCTCAGCCACTGACTATTAAGCAGACATGCTACCTTGTTAACTGGAAGGATTCACTTTCAGCATTACCCAGAGCCATCAGCTGCTGCTGACAGTAATCCTTCTGGGTTGTCTCCACTCTAGCGATATATTTACAGCTTCATTAATGTATTCTGACAAACTGATCCAATGTGCTAGGCTATTGCTGATCTTCAATGACTAACATACTAGATTTGGTTTTGCTTCCATAGGAAAAGTACAGGTGCACTTTAAACTGACCGCAAAGTGATCTCAGAGAAAACCATTTTTTGCATTTTATCTGCTTATGAGTCCCTAACCTTACATTAACCCTTATACTGCTTAATCAACAATAGTGAAGACAGACTCAGAGATCCCAATTGAACATCTGCAGTTTCCTGAAATTGATAACTGTGATTTGATGGACTTTTATTACAATTGTCTCAACAAGCGCCAAGTCCTTTTCTTGACTTCCCGCAAGAATATGAATACAGTGTCAAAAGCTAGAGACTGCAGATGTTACCATTTATATTTAACCCATGGGACGAAGTCTAGTCATTTGGGAGTTTACATAATTTTATTTGAATAGATGAATGTTGGATTCACTTTTTTATGGTTTGATACTTCTCAGTTACTGTAAGTGGAGTTGAATATCAAGGGAGATATACAGGTGCTAACTAATGGGGACTGTTCCTGCTTTCATATTGTTTTAATTTCTGCTCATTTAAATATGATTTTGAGCAATTTTTTTCTGTATGTACAGTACTTACAGGACTTGGAATGCAAAAGCTAACTGTAAGGATACACACACACACACGTTATGCTTATTCTGGGCCCATCTAAAGGATACTAGCCAAGCCTTGTTACAATGAAGATTGGAAAATCCAAAAGTACTGCAATCAAAAGCTTGTCTTGTACTTATCAGAAAAGAGTGGCTGTAACTGTGGATGTGTATTCAAACTGACCATAGGCGATGCTTAAAACATTTACGGGTTATTAGCTGAGAGTTAACTGTTAATTATGGCCCTAGAGTAAAGCGGTTACTCATTCATGGCGATACCTCACATGTGTGGTGCAATCACCATTTACATATGCGCGCTGGATGTAGGAGCATTTGCGTGCGTGCACGGGGTGCATTTAAATATTTATTTTATTTAAATGTATTTTTTTACATTTTCACAACAGTTTTTCCATATAACTTTATTGCTATCATAGGAAGTACTGCTGACAAATGGCTGACATGTTTTGAGGGGCAATCCCCTCTTGAAGAGGGGATCGCCCCTCGAAATGCATCAGTCCATTTGTGGGTCTTCTCATGCTTTGGGAGCTGACCTGGTGACGTGATTGCTTTGGATACCGATATGCCAATGTCAACAAAGTCGTTTGTGAGTATATATCTCCTTTTAACTCAATAAAGTTAACTCTCAGGTAATGCACTAGGCTGGTTCCTTGTTTTTGCAGTGAGTTCTTTGGGTTTTCCCTGACCCTTAGAGGGCAGCAAGGAGTGTGCTGATATTTTCAAGGACCTGAGATATTTCAATTATTTCACCACTCTTGAGTGCAGGAGGCGGTTCTCTTGTTCTTTGGTATAAAATCAAGCACCTAGGCATGCAGACTGCTTCTAAAAATATTTGTGAAAGAATTGGTCGCTCTCAGCTCAGTGAATTCAAAAGTGATACAGTGATAGGTTGTCACCTATGCAATACGTCCATCCATGAAATTTCCTTGCTACTAAATATTCCACGGTCAACTGTTAGTGGAATTAAAACAAAGTGGAAGCAACTGGGAACAACAGCAACTCAGTCACAAAGTGGTAGGCCACATAAAATGAGAGAGGAGTCAGCACATGCTGGAGCGCAAAGTGTGCAAAAGTCCCCAACTGTCTTCAGAGTCAATAGCTAAAGACCTCCAAACTTTTTGTGTGGTCTTCTGATTATCACAATAACAGTGCATAGAAAGCTTCATGGAGTGGGTTTCCATGGCCGAGCAGCTGCATCCAAACCTTACATCACCAACTGCAATGCAAAACATTGGACACAATGGTGTAAAGCACGCCGCCACTGGTCTCTAGAGCATTGGAGATGTATTCTCTGGACTGACGAATCACATTTCTCTGTCTGGCAATCCGATAGACGTGTCTGGGTTTGGTGGTTGTCAGGAGAACAGTACTTGTCTGACTGCATTGTGCCAAGTGTAATGGTTGGTGGACGGGGGATTATGGTGTGGTGTTGTTTTTCAGGGGTTGGGTTTGGTCCCTTAGTTCCAGTGAAGGGAACTCTTAAGGCATCAGCATACTAGGACATTGTGGACAATTTCATACTCCCAACTTTGTGGGAACAGTTTGGGGGTGGCCCCTTCCTGTTCCAACACGACTGCGCACCAGTGCACAAAGAATGATCCATAAAGACGTGGATGAGCGTGTTTGGGGTGGAGGAACTTGACTGGCGGAGACTGCGAGCCAGGCCTTCTCGTCCGACATTAGTGCCTGACCTCACAAATGCGCTTTTGGAAGAATGGTCAAACATTCCCATAGACACACTCCTAAACCTTGTGGACAGCCTTCCCAGAAGAGTTGAAGCTGTTTACAGCTGTGAAGGGTGGGCTAACTCAATATTGAACCCTATGGACTAAGACTGGGATGCAATCAAAGTTCATGTGCATGTAAAGGCAGGCGTCCCAATACTTTTGGCAATATAGTGTAGATGCCATCCCTGGATAAATAATGAACAACAATGGCACTGTCCTCTTGAAAAGAAAAGCAGCCCAAGGCTTTGTCCGAGAAAGTGCTGTGATCTCTGGAAGAGGTAATAAATACCGGTAAGTGTTACAATTACGCACAACCATTAAAATATATCTGATGCTAGGTCTGTTTTACATTTAGTGGTATGCTCTCTCATTATCATAAGTGGATTTTTAGCAGGGAATGTCTGGAGCAGTGTCTCATATTTCAGGTATGAATAAAAAAGCCACACAATGAAGAGATGGGTTGATAGCTCAATGTATCTGGATGCTACAGGAATCAGATACTTGTGTGTTCTAAAACAAACAGCGGAACCTCATTATCTATGAAAAGAAAGGGGGCAAAAAAATGGACAGCTATTGTTACTGAGCACCTGTGAAGGAAAATGACATTCAATAGCCTCTATGACGCAGGTAGAGACAGCCAAAAGAATAAATGGTACATATGTATTTGTAGCTGAAATTGTTGGTTGCTGACTTTTCCCACTGTCTTCTATTGTTGCAGTGCAAAATGTTTTATTCTAATAACAGCACTGAGCAGTTCTCTGAGGAATTCGTGTTAAAGACTCCCAGATGTCGTGAAGGCCTACTCTATTGACTAAATAGAGGCAGTAGAGTGTCTGTTTGGAGAAATCAACCTATGTGTTTCACTTTTAACAATTATCAATCCAGAAAAACTTGCTGCTCCAATGCAGCCTGTGTTTTTAGTACTTAGTGACGTGTATGAACATCATGTGGACACATAGGAGATTTGCACAGCTGCAGCCGATTCTAACTTAAGAAAATCCTGTTCAGTGCTGGCAGGAGTGCTATTCCATTGGGGCTGCTTCACAGGATATCATTAAAATTCTGTCTGCAATTCTGCCTGGCCCCATGGACAATTTAAAGTCAGAATCTGCTCACATATCCCAAAGCAGCTGATGTACTAAAACAGAAGTCACAGAGTTCACTATAATGACAATAAGCTATATAAGTATGTCTTAGAGACAGTAATTTATTTTTTGGATATGAAGTGCAGGAAAATTTAAGGGTATTAAAGTACAATATTCTTGGACTTGATCTATAAAAGTATATTGTCACATTCCAGCCCCAGGATTTTTTTTTTAACAGTTTTAACAGTTTGCTTAAGGGCCAGCTCACGCCAGAAATGCACAGGAACGCAGTCTGTGTTCCTGTGCGATTCCTTCACACTCCCCTGCGGCGTGATTTTGCAGCCCCTTAATTTGAATAGGCTGCAAATCTCCCTGGAATGTATAAAAAGTAGGGCATGCACTAGGTTTCAAAAGAGCAATGCACTAAAATCACATGGTACTGTGGTAGCATGCAATCTGGCATCCGCAAACACACTGCATATGGGGTGTCATTAACATGTATTGGCATGTGCAACAGATCGCAAATACTGTGTATTGTGAACACGGTGCAGGAAATGCGCACGGAAGACGTATTTCCCGAACTGCGTTCTGGTGTGAACCGGCCCTACAGGAACTTGCACTGCTACTGCTGACCTGTCCTTTAGCTGGCTGTCATACTGATTCAACAGGTTCCGCACTGCAATCACTGACCAGCAGCTGAAATGACTACATTTTCAGACAGTCGGGTAAACCACTTTCAAAAAGAGTCCAGCAATGTCAGCCTACGTGTTTCTCTCACAGCAGAGAAAACTGTATACTCACGCACAGGTAATTTTTCCTTTCCTGGCACTGAAGCATGGCAGCATAAACATGGGTAAGTTCCACTTCCCCTTATCCCATTGGACCAACTACCCTATAAGTTTAAGCCCCACCTAAGTGGCAGCAATCTAGTCATAATACAAGGTGTGAACAAGGGTGAGAACTCACAGGAGAAGAAAAGTACTAATACGTAAGTATACAATTTTCCAGTATTCCTAGTACAATAATCGTAGAGTACTTGTTGAATGTACTAATGAAAACAAGGGAGAGTGATGCAGAAAACATTTATCAGGCAATAACGGAACTGAAGACTGGAGAATCGTTCACTTGATAGAACTACTCTCAGTGACACGAAGTCCACTGTTAATTGGACAAGAAGGTGCGGTATGTTGCCAACTTGATGCCCTTTCTATGACTACTGGTGAAACATCTTTGCAAGCTGTGCATGGAAAAGACACCATTTTAGGAGAGTTCTCTGAAAATCCCACTGGAAGATTGACCCCTAGTCTTCTCAATCCATATCATCCTTACAGAAATATGAGACGGGATATAGGTCAGGAAGATAATGTGGATGGGGGAAAAGTGGATAGGGGGGAAGGGTGTGTATGTGTGTGTGTGTGTGTGTGTGTGTGTGGGGGGGGGGGGGTATTATGGAATGGGTTTATGTGAATTATTTTTGTAAATATGTTGTTCTTTTTCTATTGGAAAATCAAATAAAAGTTTAAAAAAAAAAAGACAAAAAACACTGTTATGCCGAAGCCCTCAGAATTGTTAATGACCAAAGCTATTACACTAATTTATCACAAGATCCTACATTACTGTTTCAAAGTGAGCTTAGATAACTTTTAGACCTGGCATGCAATGATTATCTGCACACAAAAGATGAATGTAATTTTAAAGAATAACTAACCCTAGTATTGCACACCTCTATCACTTACCCAAAATATGCTAAACTCAAATATCACTCCCAGGACATCCTATTATTTCCGGTATCATCACTTTTACATGTAAGCTTTCACAGTACATTGATATTCGTTTACAGAAATATGTTTACAATGTGCCTTCATTTCTAAAACATTCAACAGTTGTAATAAAAATAATTATGAATAGAAAGTGGAGTGAATCATACCAATGGGTTACGTTAGATGTTACAGCTTGTATTCCAACATTCCCCATGATAAAGGTTTACGTGCAGTTAGATATTACCTGGACCAAGATATATATATCAGCCAAACAACTGCAATTTCTGTTAGATGCTATTGCATTCATGCTAACTAAAAATCTCATCACATTTGATGACAAATTTTACTTGTAAATTAAAGGTACAGCTATGGGGAAGAGGTTTGCACCTAGATATGTAAACCTAGTTATGGGGGTGGTTAAAGGAAAAAAGTGTGTTTACACACTTGCAAACCTCATCACCCACAAGAGGTATATAGATGATATTATATACACTTGGCAAGAAGAATCAATGCTGATAGAGTATGCTGCGTACCTTAATTCAATTAAAATACAGGTCTCCAAATTACATCACATATAAACTCCAAAGAGGTAGAATTATTGGATTTAATTTTAACAGGTAATGCTGGTGAGTGTTTCACCACCAAAACCTATTTTAAAATGGTTGATACAGTTGCCTCCATTTTACCAGTTCCATGACCATGACCATGGCTTTATACTATTCCATTTAGCCAATTTAAGGGAATCAGATGGAAATATACAATTGATGAAGTATTTATAAAACAAATCATTGTATCAAAGATTTATAGATAAAACGTACCCCAGAAATATCAGGAGTATTTGATTGTTCAAAAAAAGATAAACTGATTATATATATATATATATATATATATATATATATATATACATATACATACACAGGAAATGTTTGACCTCTGTCATTGCCAACAAAGGATATATAACAAAGTATTGAGATGAACTTTTGATATTGACCAAATACTTATTTTTCACCATAATTTGCAAATAAATTCTTTCCAAATCAGCCAATGTGATTGTCTGGATTTGCTTTCTCATTTTGTCTCTCATAGTTGAGGTCTACCTATGATGCCAATTACAGGCCTCTCTCATCTTTTTAAGTGGGAGAATTTGCACAATTGGTGGCTGACTAAATACTTTTTTGCCCCACTGTATATAGACAATCAAAAAAGAAAAAAAACAACAGATACATTAGGATACACTACTAACTACAGCAAACAACACAAATAAATTGTGTTATAAGAGTTAAAACATTAGCAAATATAATAGCCCCTTGTAAATTAATTAATAAAACCAATATCAAGGGCACCGCTTTATTGCCAACCAAAAAGAGGGGAAGTTATAGATGTAGTTACAGTAGATGTTTACGCTGTTTATCATTTAGGCACTGCAAAGCTTTGTTTACATCAACAGTTAATAATAACAGATGGGAGACCATATCATACATGTACTGCAGCACTCAATATGTTGTTGGCTTAGTCTTAATAAACGCAGGTTTAATATACATAAATATTTCCAAAAACATAGCTTATCTAGATTAGGGCTGAAACAAGTAGCCTCCCTGGCGGTATTCCCGAGTGTAGCTCGGGGTAAAGTTTCAGTACCACAAGCGGTAACCCCAAGCTACACTCGGGCTTACCATGCGGCGCTGCTCCGGGATCTGTTCTTCTCTTAACTTGTCCTGCGCTCCCGCGATGTCCCTCCTGCAGTGTCCCCTGTAATGTCCTGCGGCGGATGCCGGCATCTCTGGGTTCCGTCCCCTGCGGCGTCGAGACGTACGGGGACGGAACGGCAGGA